TCCATGTACCAATCGGACCACCCCTTAAATCTGCATTTCCAATATAGGAATATCCACCAATTTTTAATCGAATAGATTGAAATTTTTAATGAAAAAACTTTGACATTTGCTTTATTTTATTAAAGTATCAAAAATAGCTCTTAAAAAAGTCAAACTTTCACCAATAAACTTTAAATTTCTTCAATTCGTAATTTGTGTAACCATCGACACAAAACCGAAAAATTTTTTCACTTAATAATTTGAAAATAAATGCTTTAAATATGTTCAGAACTTATATTTTAAGATAAAATTACCATTTTTAAATTCCTAAAGATTGATTTATAAAAGTTTCATATAAGCATTAAAAATGGGAAAATGGATTATTGTTAGTTAACCTTAAAGTAGGAAATATTTTTACATTTATTATATCATTTTTTTTTAAATATTCTATTAATATATGTCCAAAGTATATATGTGTGAATTTTGAGACTTCTTGCTAGTATTTTTATTAGAAAAAAAAATGATAAATAATTTTTACTAAAATTTCGCTAATTGATGATATTTAAAAGCAATTTGCAAAATTTTGAGTTTTGAAATACTTAAATTTATATTTTTACAAAATAGATTTAATCTCTAAGTTTTTTTTAAAAAAAAAATTTAATTGGTTTGGCTAAAAATTGACCGACTTTACTTTTTTTGGAAGTGGAGATTTGATTTTGCCGATCACTAGGTCCGATTCATTCGTGGATCGGCAATTAATAGAAAATTTTATTGAAAATAATTTTTTTAAATAAATGTATTGAGAATTTTGGTTTGAAATTTTTTTTTAATAAAGAATTTCGCTAGAAATTTTTTTTTTATAAAATTTATTGGAAAATTTATTGGGAAATTTTTATTAATGTAATTGATTTAATTTTTTTTTAATTTTATTCTTAATATATAGTTACAGATTTTTTTTTAAATTTTTATTTTTATTTTTAATTAATATAATTAATAGTATTCTTTTTGATTTATATTAGCATTTATAAATTTTATCTCTAAACATCGCCTGGGTCTTCGGTCTTCGATCACGTGATAATTTAATATTTTTGATTGGCCAGATTGGCCACATGACGCGTCATGTCTTGTTTTCAGTATAGGTTCTTCTTTCAGTCTTAAGGTATTTTTCTTTTCTTTTATTTTCATTTCTAACTTACATTTTTCTTAATATTATTTGTATTTGTTTGTTTTTTTTTTATTTTTCATTTAATTTAATAAATAGGATTAAATTTATGTAAATACAACAGTAATAACGTAATATAAGTAACCAAATCATATAAATTTCATGATAAACCAGTGATTAATAATTCTGTATCCAGATCATATTTTTAGTGATACAGAATGCATTTTCCGTATCCTTTCAACGGACTATCATTATACGTTATTTCTAAGAAAAAAATCTTATAAAGGCTTTATAAAACAATGTAACGTATCCAATTTTTTATAGGGACATATTTTTTAAAGCTAACTTTATTTTAAAATCTTTTTTAATTTATGTTATATCATTTATATGCTTAGAAATTTTTGAAAATATTAAAATAATAATCAAAAAAAAAAATAATAATTTTATACATTTATTAAAATTGTAAAATTTTAAAGAATTTTCCAATAAATTTTATAAAAAAAAAAGATTTCTAACGAAATTCTTACCAAAAAAAAAAAATTTCAAACCAAAATACTCAATAATTCTCAATACTCTTATTCAAAAAATTATTTCCATAAAATTTTCTATTAAAAGACTTCTAAAAGAATTCTCTATCAAAAAAAGACTCACCTATAAAAAACTTTTCAACCAACAAAATTATCAAACAAAATTCCTTATTAAAGAAAATTCTCTAATGAAATTCTCTATTAAAGAAAATTTCTAACAAAAATCTTCCATCAAAAAACTCATTTTTCCTATTAAAAAAAAACATTCAAAAGAATTTCTATACCAAAAAAAAAACTTCTCACCTATTAAAAAAAAAATATCCCCTGTTAAAAAATTTACTAATGAAATGGTCTATCAAAAAAATCTTTACTATTAAAAAGAAATTCTACAATGAAATTTCTATCAAAAAAAAAATTCTCAGCGAAATTATTTATCTCCCTATTAAAGGAATTCTTTAATCAAAAAAAAAATCTCTTCTTTTAAAAAAATTTTCTAACAAATTATCTATCATTCTCTATTAAAAATTCTCCAATGAATTTTCTATAAAAAAAAAATTTCAAATACTTATTTATTAAATTTAAATATACAATACTTTTTTGTTATTTTTTCGTGCTTAAAAAGTGATATTATCAAATTGTGATATGTTTTAAACCCCCGATAATCGGTAAGACGCTATAAATGGAATCCAAAAGGACTTGCTTTCTATAAATGGAAATCATTGTATGATCGACATGAAAAACAACAAGAGACATGTTTGTTTTATAACAAGTCACTTGTTGTGTTGATCGACATGAAAAACAACAAGTGACTTGTTGTTTTATAACAAGTGACTTGTTGTTTTATAACAAGTGTCATGTTGTTTTATAACAAGTGACTTGTTGTTTTTACAATAAGTGACTTGTTGTTTTTACAACATGCTTTTGAATTGTACGGTACGCCATAAATTTCTGCATTAAATCGAGACAATAATAATACTTTGTAATGAGAAAAAACTATCTATAAATAGTTAATGTTAAGGGGTAATAGTTTGGATACCTATTAAGGATCGTATAATAAGAAGCAAACGGATAAAAAATGCATTTCAAAGAACGAATTCATATGTATAAAACAAATTTTTTATGCACCAACAAAACAAAAAAAAAATATTATTCATAAGAATCATAATTGGCAAATTTCAATCGAAATAAACGAACATGCATGCATTCTATTTTAGTATTATTGCATTATGGAATGATTTTTTTCTTAATGATAATCTTTTAAGGCGGCAAATTAATGATCCTTGAAAAATATAAAAGAAGCGACAATTTTGCTTCACTTCTTTAACCGAGAAGAAAAAGATAATTTATAACGATAATTATTAATAACAAATTAATTTTTTCAACGAAATTTTTCAAAATCAAAATGATTTCAAGAAAATTGCCCTTTTTGGTTACGGTCGCCTTATTTTGTATGATCTTTATAGGATTAACTCAAACCGCCTCATTGAATAAACGTCAAGGCGATATCTGTTTCGCTGACTTTGCTGACGGGGTTGATGGTTTATATACATTTACTGATTTTGGAGGCCCATTCAAACTTAAGAAAAGATCAATTATGCATCGTGTTAATGGACAATTTACTAAAGGATTCGAAAAAGATACGGATATCAACAATTATGAATTTTTTATTATGACTAGTGTTCCGAAAGGGTCGAGTCGGGTCGGGTTTGAGGATGTATTCGAACTTGACCCGAGTATAAAAACCAACCCGTACAAATACCCGGGTTAATATTTACATGACCCGACCTCTGACCCGACCCGATATAGTTTAACCCCCGGATAACCCGGGTCCAAATAAAATTTTCAGATATTTTATAATTTTTTAAATCCTCCTTACGCCCAGCCTGATTTCAAACATATACACGCGTGATTTGTATTTGGTTTTAGATTGCATCTTTTGGCCGGTTCCTCCAGAAAAAATCTTCAACTGTAACACTTTCAATTACAGGTAAAAAAAAAATTTAACCAATTTTAATATTATTCAATGATTACAATATAATCTCTTACCATTGCTGCTAGGTGTGAAACTGTGAATACTTTACTATATTTAACTAGTATATTTTCATAACAATTAATAAAATCTAATAAAATAGACTAGTTATTATTAAACATATATCTTCCATCATAGTAGAACATCTTGATTTCGATCTGCTCAAGTGTTATAGACTTCTTAAATAAGTTCGCTTTCCAAGAGTTAATTTCTCAGCTTCACTCATTTTATACACAAACAAAGTTAGAAATTAAAAATCGTGTAATGTAAACGTTTATAAATATTTTAAATATAAATATTTGATTAAACCCGGGTCAACCCAGGTCAACCCGGGTCAAGCAAAGGTGTGACCCTGACCCGACGAGTCGGGTTGAATATAAGACTCGTGTCAAATAATGATAAACCCGATTCGGATTTTAAACACGGGTCGGGTCAAATGACCCGGGTTTGACCCGACCCTTTCGGAACACTAATTATGACAAAGGAAGGAAGGAAGGTTGATTTTACCGAAGACTTTAAAGAAAATGTCAAAATTTTCCCAGCTGGTGGTACTACACCTTTTCAAAAAGTTTATAAAGATGATCATTCTGTTAATAACCTCATTGGTGGTAAATTTGTTGTTAATCATAATGGAAAGAAACTTGCTAGTACTATAGTACACTTTTAATTAATTAGGATTCGCAAATTATTTAAAAATATTATGTATAATGCGCACTATATGTAGTTTCTTTTAATAAATGTCTAAATAAAACGTGATATCGTCATCATAAAACGTTCATTTTGTTGCTTTTTTATATTAAAAATTTATATTATCATAATGCACATAATGCGAATAGTAAATAGTATAAATTATAAAAGTTATATAATTATTATAATAAAGTTTATATTTGAGAATTTTGTGAGTGATTACTGATTAATTATCAGAAAAAAAATTATCAAAGCTTAAATAATTCTTCGGAATTTCTTAATTTATTACAATATAATAATTTTTTTTGTGCGTGCATGTGTGATGTATGACAATTTATTTGTTCTTCCGAATTTTATGCCCCAGTTTTTAAGTTTATTGTTTTGGATATTTAAATTATTCGTGAATAAAATTCCCCCTAATTTAATTTTCCATAATAATGTGTTGTAATAATCAAATTTATTTGAACTAAACGGCAGCGGCAAAATCCAAAAAAAAATACGGTTTTTTATATGTGTGTAACCAGTTTTTTACAAAAAATAGATTTGCTAAATTCGAATCGGCACAAAACACGTGATTATTCAGATTTCTACATGATCACATTCTTTTACATAAGTTGTATGCACATTTTCATTAAAAATACAATTTGTACATTATTTATATGATCGAATAAATTCAATAAGTCCCATAATATTATTATAATATAATTTTTATAAAACTAAAACATAATAAAATCTTTTCTCGGTCTTTACAAAATGTTAAAAGAACGATCAAACGTTTTACTTATTACAGTTCCCTTATTACATGAACAGTTTATCGATTTTTTTGATTTTGATTTCGTAAATTTTTTACGAATAATCAAAAAAATAGATTTAAAAAATGACAAAATATATAGTATTTAATTTATATTCGTAATTAAATAATGATTAAATGATGAAATAATGATTAAAAAAAGAAGACCGGGATTGCAAGATCTACATGATTGTTTTGACCCATTCTCAGACCTTTTATGTATGTTTCGGGGTCTTGATATATAATAATTTTTCAGAATTCCGAATGTATCTGAAAATTTCATATATGCGAAAAAAAACTATCCTTTAATATTACTGCTTTAAATGCTTCGTAAATAGCGAAAAAAATTGTCTTTTTTATACATATAACAATAATGATTTAACATCTGTATTTTTGCTAAGCGAATAATATAATAAATTTAGTTTTCATTTTAAAAAGTTTAATACTGATATGCCAATAGAATAAATTATCGTTAAATTACTTAATATATTGAAACTTATTATAAAAAAGTTTATTAAAAAAGATGTTAATTTAAAAATTTTAAAATAATTTGATATAAATTTTATATAAGAGAAACATTACTATGCCACGTACAGTATATAAATAATGTAAGCTTATACTTTTTGTCTAAGTTGTTTCTTAACCTTTCAAGAAGGCTGATTAATCTGATTGATTAAGTTATAGAATCATAATAAATTGCGAGTGGCTTAGTTTTATACAACTTGCAGTAGCTAACGTGGCAATCTTCAAAAGAATTTGGCTTAGTAAAGAAATTATGCCACGTGTATAGTGGCTTATTCACGGGTTTTTAAGTTTATTTGATTATGATCTAATTATTAAATTATGTAAACCACAATATTCGTTGAATAATAAAAAGCGTTATAATCACTTGGTGTTAGGACGTAGTAAAATATTCTAAATCTTTCATATTTCAATAAAAACAAATTGAATAAATCGAAATATAGTAATCCTTTACAATATCCCAGACTTTTTAAAAAAAAGTAATTGAAAAAAAATGAATATCAAAGCTCTTTTTACTAGTATTTTCGTGATCGCAATCATTTCAGCCCTAGCGTCGGTTCCTAAAGGTAAATAATTAAATAAAGCTTATTATTTTATCACTGTTTAATTTTTTTTTTTAAAAAATAAATTTATTTTTCAAGCTGAATAAGCTGAATATTATTATTGTCTTCCTGAATGTTTTCACACCGTTTCCAAAGGTGCATTTGTTAATGAATTAGATTATCACAAAATTTTTGGTAATTAATAAAAAATATCAGTAGCTATATTTTATTATTTTCGTTTTACAATTATATGTACTGTATATATACAGTATGTACAAATATAAATTTACATATTTTTTAACTATTATGATTTCAACTGACTTTGAATCACGAAACTATTATTAACTGTTAATTAATAAAAATTATTTAATTTTATTGATTATTTCATGTTAACGAAAGCAGAAAGGAAATTTTAACTTTCTTATATTTCTAGATTCATATTCACTGTTTCAGTGGCTTTAAGCAAATTATCCATCCCTATTATAAAAAGAGCTTCTATCTAAATTCTATTTCCAGAAATTTCCAAAATCTTTCAGTTATTTTCCATTTTTTTTATAACATGATCAACAAAGTTATTCAAACGAACTTCATATTTTCTAGTATCATATCTTTATTTAAATGTTGAATCCTCTGAATATATATAACGTAAAGCAGTTACAATTCATTTCGTTGTTTAAAATTTATAATGAAATAAAAAAAAAAAGTTATCAATTACTACCTGTGAGAAAATACATGATGAATTATATTTACTTATGGAGCGGAAGCAAAAATATCTTTTATTTCGCATACTTTATTTTGCGAACAAGATTTGATTTAATTTGATAAACAGAAATTCATATTTATTTAAAAAAGAACTATAGAATAAGTCGATAAAGTAGGTTATCGCGATAATTGTTTTTGGGCCCAAAATCTAAAGTATCTAACTCAAGCGGTAGTTATATAATGAAATTACAACGTGTTACGAGCGATAAAACTCAGATTTGCGATTTCATTAGATGGCGTCACGTGAGGAACAGAGAAACTCACGGGATCGATCATTTTTCAGACATATATTGTCCTTCGCTTCGCTAATAGTTTTTAATTATTTAATTTAATAATTTGACTTATATTTTGTTTCTTTTTATTTTATTAAAACAGAGTTACACTGAAAATTTTATTTGACTTCAGTTATACTGTATTTTAAGAAAATTTAATTGTAAAAAGAATCATTCATATACAAAATTAAAGCAATAAATGGAATTACGCTTTTTACAATTTTGGCGGAAAATTGATTTTTCTACGTTAATTTAATTAATTTGTAACTGTTTTCTAAAGGATCATGAGCAACATATAAAAATTTTTATAAAGAAAATAGTTCATTTATTGTGAAGGAATAAGTTGTCGGGAACGGATATAATTTCTATTGTTATAAATATCAATTTATTTAATTACTATACTATTTATTATATTTTCTTATTCCCAACCTTGCTCATTGTAAATTTATAAGCATCATACGTATTAGCCACCAGTAAATTCTTCGGAAATAATTCATCAACAAGTTCCTCTGGTATTGTTGATGGCCAGAAATTTAACGAACTATCCTGTAAATAAATATGTAACGATTCCATCTCTCTCTTCTTGACTTTCTAAAGTTAAAAATCGTAACATGAATCTTTTTAAAGCTAAAGCGAACGCTTCTGCTGGTATAACTTTTTTCGTTGTAGTTTGTTGTTCAAAATATATAGATTCAAGAATTTCAGTCTTCATATCTGTTGAAAGGGTTTTCTTATACTTTTTATGAATATACTCAATTTTAGCATCAGCAACTTGCTCTTCAACAAGTTCGTATAAGGACACTATATGTTTAAGTCGTAGATCAATATTTAAAACTTTAGAAAATCCTTCACGTTTATATAATGACGATAATTTCTTCCACTGTAAAACATAATCTTTAATGGATTTATTCTCATCTCTAACTTTCGTACGTGTGATAAAACACAGAAGAACTTCCAATGACGACAAAATTTTACTTATGTTATCTTCTGTCACGGACGTTGGGTTTTTAGAAAACTTTAACAAATTCATTTTTCAATCGGGATTGGTTCTTGAGTTATTAAATTATCAACATCATTAAGAATTTCTGTTATATCCTTGGAATAATTCCATGTGATATGGAAAAGGTTCTAAATATAATTGAAAATCTGGTTGTGTTTCTATATAAACTTTTTCAAAAGCTAAAATATTTGCCAATTCTTCTTCAATTTTTGTCAAATCATAAACGATAACTTGTCCTCTTGCAACTGCTAAATTTCTTTGGCTATGTGAAAGAATGCCGTTATTCCAGTCAAAATTTATGATATTTTCGTAATGAACATGATCAAGGTACTGTACATAGATTGAAGATAATATCCGCTGGACGTATGGGGTTGTATTTTTGAAGTTGATGAAACAGTTTTTTCAACATTAACTGTTGGTTCATCTAAAAATTTGAGAGATTTACAAGTTCCAGGTGGGATTACCATAACTTCCTCGAGGAAGTTATTTGGTATGTGCACTAAATAATCTAATATTGCACATAAAAAAATTCCCGTATCCTTTGATTCCATTAAACCATAAACTACTGGAAGTCTATAATTTATTTTTGGTTTCTCTTTTGGAAGGTCATGACATTGATATCGGTTTACAAAAGGTATAACTGCATTCCACCTTTTCGAATGCGGTTTTCAAGCTATTATGATTTTCATCATCATCGGATTCTTTTTCTAAGAATGTTTTGAAGTCCATCTCTTTCGCATTTTGTCTTGTTAAATGATAGCCGAGTTTAGAATTCAAAATTTGAACAAATTTTACAATAGGCAAAAGATGTTTGAGTAATTCTAACTGTCCAGAATATTTGAAAAGTATCGAAAGGAATGGATAATTATCTTCGTTTGCCATATTACTCATATACTAAGCACGGAAGCTATTGAAATTAATAATTCCGATTGATCTCCATAAAGTTGGTAAATTCACTTCTCTATATTGTTTACCCATAAATAAAGTCTGACAAATTTCACTTTCAATAAAACTATTTTTTTGATTTTTGGCTAAAGATTCGTCTAATTTCACGAGATAATTAGCTAACGTTTCAGTTATATTTCTAATTTTTGGTTCAATATAATTTTCATGAAACTCTATTTCCCAATTTTTGCGATCAATGGATGAATTTATTTGTTGATTTGACGGGGATTTTCCATCATTGAAGAAATTACAGAATGGAATATCAATGCCAGATTCTGATTAAAATTACAGAATTTAATTAAAAATTATATTTTAATTAGAAAACCAATAAAATTAATAAATTTTAGCGTACCTCGTCCAAACAATTAAGAATATTCTTTAGAATTTCTCAATCATTTCGAATATGATCCATACAATACCTTTCAGCATCGGTAGCAGTTTGATTATTTTTTCTAGGAAAAGCAAGGGCAGGTTGAGATGCAGATGCTCCAATAAGAGCATGAACAATTAAATGCAGAATACAATATGATGCAGGTGGTAGAGATCTAACAGAATGATTCAAAGTTTGATTAACCGGTTCGGCGGTTCCCCAATATACCCTGCTTGGTTAATTGCAATTCCACCGATAGTATTTCCACAATTTGGACATTTGCTAGTTGTAACGGCTGTACACCAATTTGCGATAAAATATTTCATACCGTATTTACAAACATATCTTGTAACTCCTTCTGCGGCAGTTGAAATACATGTTAAGATAAACAAGTTTTGACAGTCCGGTAGTCTATGTAAATACATTGCTAATTGAGATGAATTTGGTTCAAGCTGATGCGTGGAATGCGATTATATGTGCAATAGCAGATTTTAAGAACAAATCGGTATTGCTAATCTTAGGATTATCAATTTAAAGTAAAGGTTGCTCATTTGACAAAATATTTGTTGCAATTATTTTATATAATACTGGAAGATCCATTCCCATAAGTTCTCTTGCCAAGAAATTAGCTGATTGTATATCTGGATGTCTCCATTCCCTTGAAGCTCTTGTAGCATGAAGACGTATAAAGAAAAGTCCAATTAAAGATATTTTCATCGTTATAGTAGGTTTATTCATCCTTTGTACAAGTCCTTGGAATGATGCCTTATTGTTTATACCATGGTAACTCATAAAGCTCTCTTCTACTTCATTATATTCAGGCAAATCACAGTATGGATTAAAAGGCAACCGATTTTCACCAATATCTTCCCAATTTAAAGTTCCAAGCCATGGTAAAATTGCTTTCTGAGTTTCACAAAATCGTCTAACATCATCAATTGAGAAATCTCTTTGACGTAAATCTCTTAAAAAATACATCTTAAGAGAATGAGTCGAAGGATGGGTGAATTTATGTAATAATTAATTTGATTAATTAATCATCATCAAAATTGTTTTCCTCTGCAATAAAACTATTCCTATCTTCTTGAATAAAGTTATCCCAGAATCGACGAACGAATTCCTTAAGCAAAGCAATTGAAGTTATTTTTTGTAATGATGGTCTTTCTTGTTTATATAAAGCTTCAAGAACCGGTCCAAAATAAGGTGTTAAATTTTCCAATTCTTTATTCATAAAGAAGGTTTGTTCAATGGTATCACAACATAAAGTAGCCATGTTTGTATCTAAATCTCTTAAACATTCATTAATAATATTTAACCGAGCAGATAGTCTTATAGATTCTTCGAAATTTTTAATTACTGTAAAGAATATATTTTTATTTTCTACCTGATTCGACCATGATAAAATGACCTTTTTGGAATTAAACTTTCTCATTTTGTTCTAATTCACCTAGTTTATCAAGCATAGTGTTGATAAATTTCTCAGAAAAAACTTCTTGTTTGTCCAAACTTAATTCAAGTCGAACAATTTCTCTAACATTATCAAAAGGAATAGACTTTGTCGAAACTAAATCGTTTACAAAATGTAACAATTGAAAATCTGGTAAAGTTTCTGCTCGCATTAACTTATTAACTATAGATATTATTCCTGTGATGTCACGTTGCCATTTATCAATTAATTCAAAATTGTCACAAATTCGCATTAACATCAGTTTAATTACTCCTCTAACGAGATGTTTTTCTAGATTTCCACCAGCAATAGTATTTCCTTGAATTTCGATATTTTTAATTATTAATGGAAACATTCGAGCTAATTGTAATTGACCTTGGAATTTTTCCACCAATAAGCGTGAAGAAAAATATGTTGATGCACTTTATCTGCACCAATAAGCAACTTTAAGATTGATGCTAAAATTTTTTTATTCATCGTTATACCATGCCTTGACGCAATAACAGTAACAAAATCATTGAAATATAATTTAGAAGTCCATTTCCATTCAAAAAGCGAATCTTTTAATTGCGGAATTGACGTAAGAAGGTTATATTTGAAATCTTTCAAATGGTCTTTGCTATCAATTCTATCATAATCCTTTGGTAGTTCTTCTTCATAATATCTTTTAAAGCTATCAATTTGGTCAATAAAATAAAATGAAAAGGGAAATTCAAGATCGAGTAAACATCCTGCTGACATATTATATCCATCATCTTGAATATCTTCAATTTTGATAATTTCTCTTATCCATATGAATTTGTTCCCAAAACTTGAGTAATCTTTCATACTTTCCATTTGAATATATTTTGTTCATCAATATGGAAAAATGTTTTTATTACTGATAATCTTTCTAAAGCACATAAAATTTTGGCTATTGTTTTCCTGACGAATTTTCTAATATGAGCTTGAATTGCTGCAGAAAATGAAGAATACGAATATAATTCTCGCTTATTTGACGCGATTTTATATTGCCAATCACTTGTGGAATTTTCTTCTATCCATTTAAGAGTTTTATCTTTCAGGCATTTGATGAAATTTGGTATTTTTTCGCTTATTAGTCTAGAGAAAAATTTTACCGTACAGTTATAATATATTGTGACTAAAAATTTTTTAATGAACTGTTAAAGATATTAAAAAATAAATACTTACTTTATATGATTGGCTGAGTTACCATTCGATGGATAATTCATGCATGATAAACACCATGGCAGTTCTTGTAAAAATATTTCTTCGAATGGATAAGCAGAATCAATAATATAAGATAACGATCCTTCTAAGAGATCAAAAATAGGAATGTCATTTCCTGATAACGTTTCAATAGTCATTTTCTTCCAGTCGCACACGAAATTAAAAGACTCGAAAGTGGATTCCTGATCTCGATGAATATGAAAAATGATACACGCATGCTTCATAGGCTCCATTTGATCTTTCTTTGTTATAGATTCATTTCGGAATTGTTCGATAGCACATTTAGCAAGTTTAATATTTTCAGTATTAGCAGTAGTTGCATCACATTGGAGGATTAGTATTCGATCATTTGATTCTAGCCAGAAATGCTTTATCTATAGGTTGAGTTGTAGTATTTCGAGTAGGTTAACTAAAAATATATTTCAACAATTAAATCATAACTATCATTGTTTTGACTGAATCCTGTGTTTCGGTCGTGAAATTTGATAAATTATCTACTGACAACTCACAAGTTCTTGTAAACAGGATCTAACATCCGTATCTATATTAGAAAATGTATATATGATCACTAAATTTCCATTTAGATCTGATAATAAATTTTCTTGATTAGCGAAATAATCATAAAGACTCTCGTGATGCTGTTGATGAAAATAAACATGCTTCCATCGATCAACTTCATCTCTTTCTAAAGCTGATCGCTCAGCTCTCACAATCCCATCAGATGATACTGTTGCAATTAAACATTCCTTGCATGTTTCTAAAACTCTATTATTATCTGCTTCAGGATTATTCTTTATAATATCCATAATTAAGCTTTGTAAGATTTCATATTTAAACCCAATGAATAGGTCTTTTATGGCGAATTTATTAAATTGAGATTCTGAATTAATTCCAGTTAAAGTTAGCATTTTTCTTGCCCAATCACTTAAATTTTCAACAAGTAAATTGTGCCTATCATTAAGCGTATCATCATTAATTGATATTAAATCATCTGAAGCCACATTTTTCTTATTTGTAATGAGGTTGGATTGCGAAGGGAAATCGAAATTATTAATAATGATATCGGATAATTTACCGTGCATTTAATATTTGTTAGCTTTCGATACACCACTATCGAGTTGTTGCTCGTTCGATATACCATCATCAATTTGTTTCTCGTTCGATATATCACCATTAAGTTGTTGCTTGTTTGATATACCACCATCAAGTTGTTCGTTTGATGATTGAGATTCTATTATACAACTAACTTGATTTTCTGTTGTTATACTTGTATTTGTGTTCAATGCTCTTAATTTGTTAATAGTTTGGATCATATCTGGTCTATTAACTGGTTCACCATCCCAACATTCTAAAAAAAAAAAATTATATTAATACGAGACTTGAGATCGTAATAACATTATAATTTACAAATAAATTATTATATTTACTGGTATAAATATTAGAATAATCAGGAGGAGTATCTGGGACAATACTTTCCCTATATCCTTGTAACATTTGCAAACCAAACTAATATCATAGGATTCGCCTTCAAATGGTGGATGACCGCTTGATATCTCCCACAAAAGCACTCCGACGCTGTAAACGTCGCTCTTTTTATTTAAAGAATATTTCGGATCACCCAATTTTTTGGATCAATATAAGAAGTTATACCAAACAAAGTTTGTTGTGTTGAGTATGTTCTAGATATTACTTCTATTTTCTTTGATAATCCAAAATCAGATAATTTAATATTATCTTTATGAATTAATATGTTGCCAGATGCTATTATTAAATAAAGAAAGTTTAGATAATTAAAATTTATTAAAAATAAATTAATAAAGTTTAATAACTCATCAAATAACTTACCAAATCACGATGTATTATTCCTTCATCATGTAAGCATGATATGGCGCTAACTGATATGCGAATTTGTATTTATTTTCCCAAGTAATATTCTTATTATTTTACAAATATGTTCGAAGGGTACCACTATCGGCATACTCCATTACTAATAAATATTTTTTATATTGACCTTTTGGATTTTCTATTATAAAAAATAATTGATTTTTGTTTTAAATGTGTTTTTACAAAAATCAATATAATAAATATTAATATTCTATTGCCTTAATATGTAATTCCATAAAAGCTAATAATATTGTTATCAAATTGAACTTCACGATGAATTTCAAGCTAAAATTATAGATATACATAAATTAATTCAAAAATTAAATAATTGATATTACATTTTTATAATCACCTCCTTAACGATATCTTTTATAGTATTATTGTCAAGGTTAGATAAAGATTTTAATGCAAAATATTGTTCCGAATTTTTTCAATTTGCACAATAAACTTTTCCAAAGTTACCGTTGCCAATTTTTTTAATATTACGAAATCTTTGTATTCATAATATTTAATATGTTTTTTAGAAACAGCTTCTTGGACTCATTCGTTTGAATTGTTGGTGGTTTGCATTTTAATAATTTTAATCAGTAGCAAAAAAAACCTAATTTTGGTCATTTATAATAAAGTGATTGAGTTGTGTGACATCGAACAATACATATAGTGAGTAATATTATATATATGTAAGAATTATCACAATAAAGCATCACGTGGATTATATAATAATAATTTCTATTAATGTTAAACTATATTAGTAAAACTCGTGATCTTCGTGATCTTAATGGTACTTGTTTACGAATAACATTCGACATACTATCATAACAAACTGACAAATTTGACAAATTTGGCCTGATCGTACTACAATTGTTTCTATATAAGCATTGTATTACCACAATCACGCACTTATAAAGCACTCTCACTCAAGTTAGTACTCAAGTTAAAAAAAATAAAAAAAAATACCTTTTCTCTTTAATTAAATATTGTATATTTCCCAACCTCTCTTTAAACGAAAAGCTTTAAAAAAAACAATGGCGAGAGGCAGTTCAGCTAAGTCAAAGAAGCAAGCCAGCCCTCCTTTTCATCCAAAATACGAGGATATGATTCGAGGTGAGTTTACAGAACCTTTTTATTAAATTTAAAGAAAATTTGAAAAAAAATTTAAAATACGCTATCTCTTGACAATAACAAAAGAAAAATAAAAGGCATCTATTACATTACTTAACATTTTTAGTTATACTATTCTTTCAAATTATTAATTTCCCACATTGTTAAATCTGTAGATGCTATTGTAGCTTTGAAAGAAAGTCAAGGAAGCAGGTAAAGAAATAGTTCTAAAATTGCCGTTTCGCTTAAGAGTCCTTATTGGTGACGTGTCTTTCTTTTTTTCTTTTACAAACAAAATTGTCGTATTTATCGATTATTAGTCGTACAGCTATTAAGAAATATATCTTAAATACATATAAACTTCGCGACAATGCCGTCACAACCAACCGTCTCAAGATGGCCATTGCTAAGGGCGTCGATAAAGGAACTTTTTCCTTCGTTAAAGGTAAATACTCCTAAAATCGTGAAAGATCAAACAGCACTAAAATATATATTATCTTAAGCAACCGTTCATGAAAAATAAATTTTTTGTGCTATTTTTTTAACTTACTGTTTGTCACACACTTCAGGTCCCAGTGGTACTCTTAAACTCGTGAAAAAGGAAGCAGTCAAGAAAGAAAAGAAGGAAGTTGAGAAGGAAAGCTGAAAAGAAGGAGGTTAAGCCAAAAGCTGAAAAAGTACGTTTATTATTTTAAATTAGTTATATAAGGAGTAACTTTTGGAGGAGTTTTAAAAGAGTTTGAGATGTTAATAATCTTTACTTTTAGAATTATTTTCACAATGTAATATTATTTAACCCAATAAATATTATATTTTATAACTCAAAATTCGGGTCTCATAATTTTCATGCAATAATAAACCAAGCAACGTATTTTACTTTAATTCTTAATTTTATTCAACTTAACCCAATGTCACTTGTTGTGGAAAAGGTGGCAGCTTTTCTCGCACGGCAACGCTTTGGAGTTGCAGATGATAAAAATTTTCTTTTCATTTATAAAAGTAATTTAGTAAATTGGTTTTCCTTTTTCTTTTTCATTTTTATCTATATTTTATTTTAGGTTTATTAATCAGTAAATTTGTAAGAAATCATTTTGTGTTTATTAATAAAAACCATGTTATTATAAATCAAAGCACAACCCTAGTTTATATAAAATATTTTATTATTTATGTTATACATATAAGCATTTTCTAAATTTTGTAAATTTTGTCTAATTAGCCATTCCAAACTAATAATTAGTTTAACGTCCTTTGAGGGGAGGGGGNCAGTTCCAATTCCATTTTCATAGCAATGTCCTAAACCAATTATTCCAAATACACTTCCTAAATCTGCTGCTTTTTGATATAATTCAAATGCCTTTTGCTGATTAATATTGGTTCCAATTCCATATTCATAACAATATCCTAAATTATTTATTCCAAATGCATTTCCTAAATCTGCTGCTTTTTGATATAATTCAAATGTCTTTTGCTGATTAATATCAGTTCCAATTCCATTTTCATAGCAATGTCCTAAACCAATTATTCCAAATACACTTCCTAAATCTGCTGCTTTTTGATATAATTCAAATGCCTTTTGCTGATTAATATTGGTTCCAATTCCATATTCATAACAATATCCTAAATTATTTATTCCAAATGCATTTCCTAAATCTGCTGCTTTTTGATATAATTCAAATGTCTTTTGCTGATTAATATCAGTTCCAATTCCATTTTCATAGCAATGTCCTAAACCAATTATTCCAAATACACTTCCTAAATCTGCTGCTTTTTGATATAATTCAAATGCCTTTTGCTGATTAATATTGGTTCCAATTCCATATTCATAACAATATCCTAAATTATTTATTCCAAATGCATTTCCTAAATCTGCTGCTTTTTGATATAATTCAAATGTCTTTTGCTGATTAATATCAGTTCCAATTCCATTTTCATAGCAATGTCCTAAACCAATTATTCCAAATACACTTCCTAAATCTGCTGCTTTTTGATATAATTCAAATGCCTTTTGCTGATTAATATTGGTTCCAATTCCATATTCATAACAATATCCTAAATTATTTATTCCAAATGCATTTCCTAAATCTGCTGCTTTTTGATATAATTCAAATGTCTTTTGCTGATTAATATCAGTTCCAATTCCATTTTCATAGCAATGTCCTAAACCAATTATTCCAAATACACTTCCTAAATCTGCTGCTTTTTGATATAATTCAAATGCCTTTTGCTGATTAATATTGGTTCCAATTCCATATTCATAACAATATCCTAAATTATTTATTCCAAATGCATTTCCTAAATCTGCTGCTTTTTGATATAATTCAAATGTCTTTTGCTGATTAATATCAGTTCCAATTCCATTTTCATAGCAATGTCCTAAACCAATTATTCCAAATACACTTCCTAAATCTGCTGCTTTTTGATATAATTCAAATGCCTTTTGCTGATTAATATTGGTTCCAATTCCATATTCATAACAATATCCTAAATTATTTATTCCAAATGCATTTCCTAAATCTGCTGCTTTTTGATATAATTCAAATGTCTTTTGCTGATTAATATCAGTTCCAATTCCATTTTCATAGCAATGTCCTAAACCAATTATTCCAAATACACTTCCTAAATCTGCTGCTTTTTGATATAATTCAAATGCCTTTTGCTGATTAATATTGGTTCCAATTCCATATTCATAACAATATCCTAAATTATTTATTCCAAATGCATTTCCTAAATCTGCTGCTTTTTGATATAATTCAAATGTCTTTTGCTGATTAATATCAGTTCCAATTCCATTTTCATAGCAATGTCCTAAACCAATTATTCCAAATACACTTCCTAAATCTGCTGCTTTTTGATATAATTCAAATGCCTTTTGCTGATTAATATTGGTTCCAATTCCATTTTCATAGCAACGTCCTAAATTATTAATTCCAGGTAGATATCCTAAATCTGCTGCCTTTTGATATAGTTCAAATGCCTTTTGACTATTAATATTTGTCTCAATTCCCTTTTCATAATGATATGCTAAAAAATTTATCCCAAATGAATTTTCTAAATCTGCTGCTTTTTGATATAACTCAAATGCTTTTTGTTTATCAACACTGATTCCAATTCCTAAATAGTTAAATCTTCCAAGTAAAGCAATAAAATTTGAGTCATTCTGATTGCTTAATAATAAATTATTAAACTCTTGTAAAGTTATATTATGATTGTCAAGATAATTTATAATCTTCTGTATATCCATTTCAAAATAATCATTATTAAAAATATCAATTATATCATTAACTATTGTATTAAATTTATTCTCAAATTGGTTACTTGATGACATTGAACATTCCATTTCTTTTGTGTTCATCATATTAAAATTTTGAATAACTTGAGATAATTCTCCATGTAAGGAATTAAAATCTTCAGAAGAAACTTCATCTAAAATTGGCTGCTGATTATTTGATAATTGAATATCCTTTTTATCATCATATAGGTGAAAATCTTTTATAATTATGTTTTCTTTTGTTATAATCGTTCTTAGTTTATCAACCACTTGATTGATAGTAGGACGATTATCAGGTTCAAGATTCCAACAATCTACGAAAAAAAAAATATCTTTAATTAATTAAAATCATATGGTTTATAAATGATCATAATAAATGTAATTTTATACTCACCAGTGTAAATTTTTATATAATCTTCAGATGTATCAGGAATAGGTTTTTCTCTAAAACCCTGTAAAATACTAATAGCCAAACCAACGTCATATGGTATACCATGAAAAGGTGGCTTACCGCTAGATATCTCCCATAGTAATACACCAATACTATAAACATCGCTTTTTCTATTTAATAAATATAATGTCGTTGTATTTCTATTAAAACTTTTTGGATCAGTATAAGGAATTAATCCAAATGTTTTTGATTGAGAGCCAGATGTTTCCTCAATTCTTTTTGATAAGCCAAAATCTGCTAGCTTAACGGTATTTTGATGAACTAACACGTTATTAGAGTGCTATTAATAATTACATAAAAAATAAAACAATTAAGATAAAAATAATCATTAAATTTAAATACACCATAAATTTTAAATTTTAAAATATTTACCAAATCACGATGCATTATCCCTTCTCCATGTAAGCATGATACTGCATAAACCAGCTGAAATGCAAAATTAAATTTGTCATTCCAAGTGAGATTTTTAAAATTTTCTTTCAGATATTTTCGGAGAGTACCATTTTCAGCATATTCTAGTACCAATGAATATTCTTTTCTTTGATTTTCTTTATAAATAAAAGAAAAATTTTATAAATTAGTTAATTAGTTAATTTTAAATTATTATTAAATAAATAATATTAGAACTTATATACCCTTAACGGAAGTTGTAACACCATAAAAGCTGATAACGTTATCATGAAAATCAACTTCGCGTTGAAGTTGAATCTAGGTAGTAAATAAATATTACATTATAAACTTACATATGTATAATTAATAATTAATGATATATGTGTGATGTTATAATTACCTCACGAACAATTGCTTTAGCTGAAGCATCATTGATATTAAAAAAAGACTTTATTGCATAACTTTTATGAGAATTCTTCCAGTTTGCACGATAAACTCTACCGAAACCTCCGGAACCAATGTTTTGAAAATTATAAAATTGGTCAAATTCATAATATTTAATAAGTTTTTTAGAAATAGCCTCCTCAATCCATTTATTCCAATCATTTAAATCATTAATAAGTTCAGCGTTATTAGACATTGTTAAGTACAAAAAAATTACTGCGGAATTTAATTTTTTCAAGTATTGGGAAAAAAAAACAATGAATATTTTGTATTTATCAATAAATTTTGTTTAGTATCACCAATACACCAAACGCACGCAAAACGCCAAAGGTAACTGTCGATCATTCCGCTTCAAACACCATCAGGTGATCATCAATTACGAAACAAAGTTGATCATCTATATTATCTTTTTTTTTGAAATAAATGACATGTTAATGATATTTTATAATTATAAATTTTGAATACTATAAGTTAGATTTTGATAAACTATCAGATAGCTTTCAATATATACGATAGGAGACTCCTTCTATCGATCACTCGTCATTAATTTCTGCTAAAGAAAATGTCAAGAAAATCACTGATCCGTCTAAGATTAACTCGTTAAATTTTACATTGTACGAGCGTCAGATGCGTTGTCTTTATCTTGCGTTTTTTTAAGAACTTATCTAGCGAAATAATTAATTTTGGGCGCAGTATTATATTTAATTAAGTGTGTAAAATTTTCACTGTATTTTTATTTACTGCGGACGGGAATGACCTTAAATGGTTAAAAGTGGTAGTAATTAGGGAATTGTAGTCCGCGATGACGTTAAACTATGGCCGAATTCTATTAGTAATCAGTATTTTACTTTAATAGGGTTATACAAGGATCATTAATGATAATATTGTGACAATGGGTAGTAGTTGATCATTTATTTCATAGAAGGATTGGTTCGATATTTTATTTTAGAAATTATTATTTTGGTTGGTTTTTATTTGAAGTTATTCATTTTAGGGAATTGTTATTTTAATTGGTAATTTCACTTTTAAATTAGATGCTTAGAATTTTTTTGGAATTAATTTTATCATTTTTATTTTCTTTCTTGAAATTTATGAAACTCGGAAATTGTTATAATTTTTATCAAATTTAATAAAGATATATTTTGTAGCTAGAGGTGGCAAACATCATCCACTACTAGGCTCTACAATGTCAGAGAAGTAAAGATTTTCAAAAAATGAAATCAAATACAAACGAGAAAAATGAGCTGAAGAAAATAAAGATTTGTAAAGACGTTAATGGTTGGAAGTTGGAACAACGCAAGGAGAAAAAAGGGAAAAAAATGTATATAGAAGTGGGAAGAAAAATTTAATAGAAGAATTTAATAAATTAAGTTCATATATAGAATTCAAAAACGAAGAAGTCATAAATGATAATAATAAACGTTTAAAGGAAAAGAGTAGATTTAGGTATCAGACACAAATTTCAAAAGAATTAATAAATTCTCTTATATAGTCCAACACAAAAATTTTTTTTAGCTAAACACAAATAGCTGTTTATACAAGTTTGTCCAATTATATATTCGGTCTAAGTGTTTCTATAATAGTTTTATAAATGTATTTATATTTATAATTATACCTAATAAATAAACACGCTTATCGAAAATAAAAATTTAAGTCTGTGTAATGTAGAATATTATAGTTCTAAAAGGAAAGAAACTGGAAAGTAAAGAAAAGTATACTATCATAATTCGATAATTATAACTAGCTAGAAAAGTCTAGTGCTCAAATTAAATGACGTAAAACCCTTTTGCATACTTAACTGCGTATCGTATTTCTGGTTTCAGAAATAAAGTTTTTAAATTTTAAATTTTATCGGATAAAAATGATAAAAATTATATTTTTTTTGATAGCGCTTATATTTCGTGATTCAGTAGTTGAATAATTCATGAAGTGAACAAGTTTCATTTGTTTCTTTCTAAGGAATTGCCGACGTGCAAAAACTTTTCTTGATCGATAATTTTTTTTGATAAGGTCATTAATATTTATTTTTTTGTTAATTATCAAACTCTATATACAGTATCTTTAACCCTTAGTAATTTTAGTAATTTTCATTTTTTTTTATATTAAAAAAGAAAAACTTATTTAAATCTTCTACAAAAATTTACAAATCGAAAAATAATAAAAAATATAAATTTACTCTTTCTTTCTTTTAAAATAAATTTTCTGATGGATGTAACATAAAATTTAAAAATGCATTAAACTTATGGCAAGCCAGGACAGACAAAATTGCGTTTATTTTACGCATATTTTTACTAAGCGTTTATTTTTACATTTAAACGTTTATAATTTTTTTTACAAATATGGGATTTCAATTAAACGCTTATAAATTTTTTTTCATAAATTTATTATTTCTATAAAAATTCTTTTTCATAACACAAAATTTAAATGTGGAATCTAAATAATTAATACTTAAAAATAATTAAATATGAAAATAAACGTTTAAAACCATACTTTAAGCGCTAAACAAGTATTTAATAAACTTAATAATAAACGTAATTTTATCTTTCCTGGGTTGCCAGAATAAACTTATAAATACGTTTAAAGCTGTGACTTATACGTCTAAACATGTTTAAATAAACGTATATCATTCCATATATACTACTATTAACCGATATTCTAAGTTAGTAAATCAGTAGTAAATCAGTTAGTTTAAATCTTTAGTTTGAAATGGTTTAATTATAAATAAATAAATTTAGAAAAAATTTATTTATTTTAATAAAGAAGACCGATTAATGACCGTGACCATTACAATCACTAGTATTATAATAATTTAATTGGGCAATAACGATAATAAAAATGTTATACTATAAACTAAATTAATAAAATTATGTAATATGAAAATCCAGCCGATTTTAAATACCCTTTACTTATCAGTTAGTTATATACAGTATACAGTATATTTTTATTTGTTATAACTTGTCGTTAAAATAAATATATAATAATGCCCTATACTACTATAAAACTAACAAAACTATATACCTAACTACTAATATTAATTATTTTTATTTTCATTTATTATACATTGGAATTTTTCACGATCTTCTCTAGTTCTCTATAATCCTCTTCGTTAACGCGCTTCTTCGAATAGTTTGTTATTTCATCCTCGTATTATAATCTACTTCGAAAGACACGTTTAAACATTCATATTCTTGAACTTTTTATATTAGAACGTCTCGTTTAACCGCTTCTTCTCATTCTTTCCTTGATATATCAATCTTGTAATTGCTGATCCAAAACGTTTATGGACGAAGCTCGGTTAGTATTTAATTCAAATCTCTTAATATTTGGATAAGTATGAACTGTCCAAACTTTTCCAAGTCCTCCTTGTTTTATGGAGTTCGTTATCTCTTCTTCTATTCTTTCTTGATTTGTAAAAGTCGCCAAGAGTACCACTTTCCATTAAATCTTATTTTTTTACCCTTTATAGTCTTGTTTCAAAATATTTCCATAACCTCAATAATCTCAAGCTCCTGTTTTATTCTCTTCTTCTTTTTCAAAAAATTTATATTCTTGTCACTTATATGCTTCTTTTATGTCCTTGAGCGAAGTATTTATGCTGGATCCCGTTTATATTCAATCCGACGAACGACATTTCTTTGACTGCGAAATCATTGTTATAATCCTTCAATGATTTCATTTCAGCTTTAACGCCCTATAAGAAATATGTATATGGTAAGGATACGTTTTGTATACATTTTATGTACGTTTCTATAGTTTCCATATACAAATTCCGTATATTTAATAAGCAATTCATTTTTGAACATTTTTTAAAAAAACTAATGTATACGGAAAAAATCAATCATACGGAATGTATACGGAATTTAATATTTTTAGAAAATAATTTCGTATCATAACACGAGATCACGTGATTGTTTATTGTTTTGTTATGATACGTTTTTTGTTTTTTATATAAACCCTTACTTTAATGAGTTTGATCTTCTGTCTTTCCCTTCCTTCTCTTTTCTCTTGTCTTATTTTTGTTATTTTTCTAAATTTTTCTTCTTTTTTCGTCACCCCCCTTTTAAAAAAAAATTTTTTTTTCGTACCTCACTTTAAAATTTTTTTTTTTTTCATCACTCTCCTTTAAAAAAAAA